AATATAAATCTTGAATGAGTACATAATAAGGGAGTGATTTGGGATATGGCCAGTTAATGATGGTTTATAAAAGGTATTTTTTAAATATGTGCCTTCAGCAGAAAATAATATAAGAAATGTTTTTCTTAGAGTCTTTATCATCTGAATGACTAAATAACATGAATTTGACATCTGTGACTCCACTTGTATTTTGAAATGACTATACTTTGAGAATGTTTGTAAAGCTACTAGTGTGTGTGTTTATATATTTGCTTTACTAGAGGCTGGGGGTGAACAATAAGAAAACAGTTAAAACTGGTAAGGAAAGGGGCGCCTGGGTGGCTCAGTCGGTTAAGCGTCCAACTTCGGTCTGATACAAAATAGCAACATCCACTAGCCAGCACAGATCACAACCTGACACTCGTGTGTGTGTGTGTGTGTGTGTGTGTGTGTGTGTGTGCGCGCGCACGTGCGTGTGTGTGTGTGTGTACACATTTTTTAATTGTCTCACTTCTCCTACTAGAATGTAAGCTCCGCATGGACAAGCCCCATAGGAATAAGGGGAATTTTGTTTTTGTTATTTCTTTATAAGATCCATCTGATAAGTAAAAGCAAACCACATAATAGTAAGTGGTAGTCACTGAACTATTCCAATTTAAGGAATTACCAAAGACAAATAACTCTTAATAGTTAAATAACACTTTCTTAATTGACCATGTAATACTAAATTGGAGTAAGTATCATACAGATGACATTTGAATTACTAGATGTATCATCTCAAATGGATATGGCAAAGAAGTTCCAAATTTCACTACACAGAGCCATGTGGTCACCAGAAGAAACTGATAAAATTTTCAATGCAAAGATATATATTCTTAAGATATGACACAATATGATAAGGGGTGCACAGGTGGCTCAGTCAGTTAAGCGTCCAACTTCAGCTCAAGTCATAATCTCAGTCACTGAATTTGAGTTCCACATCGGGTTCTGTGCTGACAGCTCAGAGCCTGGAGCCTACTTCAGATTCTGTCTCCCTCTCTCTCTGTCCCTCCACTGCTTGTGCTCTGTCTCTCTCTCTCTCAAAAATAAATAAACATTAAAAATTTTTTTAAAAGATATTATACAACAAAACATAAATACATTTGGTTACAGAACATGTAAACTTTCAGATGATTTTTAAAATTTATTTATTTTGAGAGAGAAGTAGAAAGGGGAGAGAAGGATCCCAAGCAAGCTCCACACTGTTAGTACAGATCCTGACATGGAGTTCAAACTCATGAACCCTGAGATCATAATCTCATGAAATCAAGAGTCAGACACTTACCTGACTGGGCCACCCAGGTACCCCAGATAGTTTTTAATCAGAAAGTTATAGGGGCCCCTGGGTGGCTCAGTTGGTTAAGTGTCCGACTTTGACTCAGGTCATGATCTCACAGCTCCTGAGTTTGAGCCCCATGTCAGGCTCTGTGCTGACAATACAGAGCCTAGAGCCAGCTTCAGATTCTGTATCTCCCTCTCTCTCTGTGCCCCTCCCCTGCTTGTACTCTGTCTCTCTGTCTCAAAAATAAACGTTAAAAATAATAATAATAATAAAGAAAAAATATATGCTCAAAGGGTGCTATAGTGTCATTAAAATTATTCTGAGTTATGTGGGTAACTTCTCCACAACTATAATAAAATAAGGCTCTGTTTCTTAAACTAGTGATGAGTACATAGGTGCTTTTTATGTTCTCCTTTTATATTCTCTTTTATACTTTTGGATGAAAGATTTCATAGTATGTATTTTTTTCAGGTCAGGCAAATTTTAATGAAACAAAGTAAAAATATATAGTATGTGACAAGAGTATAAGGAAGATATTTAAAAGATTTTCTTTACTATAAGGGAGTACAAAGAAGTGGTTAAGAGCCCAGATTCTGGAGTCACAATGCCTCGGTTGTTAGCTTTGACACTAGCCATGTAACACTGAAATGCAGCAAATAACATTTCTTAGCCTCAAGTTCCTCATCTATAAAATGTAAACAATACTAATGCTACTAATAAAGATAACCTAATTGTAGGTGTATATTTCAAAATCTTAGGACATTTCCTGGAAAATAATAAATGCAAATTTTATAAGATTCTTATTATTTTTAAAATGTTTTTAAAGATGCCACAGGAGATATATCTAGTAAGAAGTTGCTACAGCCAATGTCAAAGAACTTACTGCCTGTGTTCTCCCCTAGTATTTCAACAGTTTCCTGTCTCACGTTTAGGTTTAATCCATTTTGAATTTATTTTTGTGTATGGTGTTAAGAAAGTGGTCCAGTTTCATTCTTTTGCATGTTGCTACCCACTTTTCCCAACACCGTTTGTTGAAGAGACTGTCCTTTTTCCCACTGAATTGTCTTTCTGGCTTTGTCAAAGATTAATTGGCCATGCAATCGTGGATTCATTTTTGGGTTTTCTATTCTGTTCTATTGATCTATGTGCCTGCCCTGAGTTATAGGGGTAACTTTTCCACAACTATAATAAAATAAAGCTCTGTTTCTTAAACTGGTGATGAGTACATAGGTGCTTTTATATTCTCCTTTATACTTTTGGATGAAAGATTTCATAGTATATTTTTGTGCCAGTACTATATTGTCTTGAGGTGGTTACTTTTTTGATTCATCATTATAAAAAGAAAATGGAAACTGAAAATACAAAAATTTCTATTTCTCAGATTATACTCAAAATATAAATTTAAATTTGGTAGGTAAAAGTAATAAAATGATTACTAACATTTATGTAAACAGTAAGAATATTAGCTTTGTCTTGAAAACATTTTCAATTTATTCAGTTAATTTAGAATACATTTCAGTATAAAAGCACACATTTTATATGCCTAAGAGCCACAACCACAAACCCTAAGTGGATTATAATTGTCAATTATGTTCTTCAGGTTCCTCAGGCTTAAATGTCTCTGCCCAAAATAGTAGATAGTATTTCCCCAGGATTGGTATCTTATCCTCAAAAGTTTGGCTCACATACAAGGCAGGATTAGAGAGGAAGAGGAGCACAGTTCAAGTAATTCACCTTCTAAATAAAATTAAAAAGGAATATAAAAACCTGCTACCCAAATATGTGTATATAAAATAATCTAGCAATTGTTTTCTGCCTAAATATGTTTGTTAATTTCCACTCACATTATAGTTACACCTACTTACTATTCTTCCATTGTAGTCTCTCACCTGCAGTAGAATCCCAATAAAGCACATGATTTCACTCATAAGAATAAAGGCGGCAGCAGGGTAATTAACAAAGCTAAAAAGAACCCCAGGAAACATAGTGGACATTTACTGCCAGAGCATGGAAGACAGAAAGAAGTTGGTCTTCCCTTTAAATTCAAGTGTACATATCACAATGTATCAGTTCCCAGGCACAAAGGCAGCCAAAAAGGGTTGGTTTTTGTTTTGTTTTGTTTGTTTGTTTTTGGTGTTTTTCCCCCTAGTTCTGGAGGAATATTGCTAGAGTGAGGAAAAAGTGGCTACCTACCCAATGGCCAGTTGAATCAACCCAGATAATTTGGAGAGTAACCTACAGTCATAAAACATCAGATTCTGATCTTAGTCAGGGTTCCTACAATGGTATAAGATATGTGTACACACACACACACACACACACACAGAGAGAGATATACACATACACATATATTTCCTAGACTATATCTTTTCAAACTGAGATTCTACAGAAGTATGTCTCTCATTGCTTCTCCAGTGTGATTTTTCTCAGGCCAGGCAAACTTTCAAGAGTGGTTCAGAATTTCTCAGGTTTATAAAGACTAGAATTTGTAAAGTGTCTGATAATTTCAATAACAGGTATGTTAACTATCTGTGGCTATCAAAAAAATGTCATTTATTATTTCTCTGCTTTTGAGGGGAAGAAAAGTTAAGTTTATGCCTCAGAAAGCTTAAGCAAGAATTGGTGGCAAGTTTTTATCAGGGCTGGCAAAAAGGCCAAATTCTGATAGCTTTCCTGACAGTATGGATTACTGTCAATGCTGCATTTAAGGTATTTTCAATGTTTTTGCACTTCATTTTAGTGATCTATAGTTGTGTCGATCCTAGTTGTATGGGTCCTAGTTGTATGAATCCATCCATATTACAACTAGGCTGTGTTATTATACTGAGAAGAAAAATTTATTCTGGATAATTAAAATTAATCTTCCAAAACAAAACAAAATGCTTTTAAAATGAAATTAGGAAAAAAAATCACAGAGGAAAGTCAAGATTTTTGCAAAAGTATTTTAATAAAATGTTCAAATAAATTTATTTACTAAGTTTAATATTCCTGTATTTTTTGTTTCTCTGCCTAATCTGTAAGAATTAAACTTTGTTATATATAAAACAGAGCATTTAGTACTATAGAGAATACAGGAGAACATCAAATTCACAGGAAGTCTGGTATCCATGTACCATGCAAATACAACGGACTGTAATTTAAACCAAATATCACCACACTGTATTTGAAATAATCATTAAATTTAATCATATTTTAAGAAAAAAGTTTTCAAATATAGTATAATCTTATTTTTTAAATAGTATATTTAGCACACTGTAGTCTATGCTGTTATTTTAACATAGTTATAATCTTATTTTTTAACAGACTTATGTTAATAAGAGCTGGCTTTTAAAGGTAGTATAACTGTATTTTTTTAAAAAACATAAACGTCTAGTAGTAAGACCTCTTATTTAAATACAGTGTAATCTTATTTTTTAAAACATAAATCTATGGTAATAAGAGCAAATTACTCAATAAACATTGAACTGAGTATCTAAATTTGTAAATTGCTCTCTTTAGCACTAAATTAATCAATTATTATATTTAGCAAGAGATACGCTAAATTCAAATACAGAAAATAAGTCTAATGTAAACAAAATAGAATATTTGTTTCTGTTTCTTAGCTGGCTCCCTGACTGTATCTATATTCTTCAAATATATGGATATTTCAGGAAAAGCTCCCACACAACTAAATAATAATTTTCAAATTTTTTCTGCACCTTTTCTTCCCAAATTAATCCATCCAGGACTGGCTTCATTTCCTTGCTGGTAAATACTACAAAAAGTCCAGTCAATATATCCATCATCATTTCCTTCTGAGCTTCAAATACAGTTAGAAAAATGGAAAAGTTCAAAGCAGTTGGAAAACCATTGAGGTTCTAAAGGATGCCAGTTGAGATCTTCTGGTGAAAAAATCTACTTCCTAAATGTCAACAAGTTAAACTCACTCCCACCTGGAGGCAAGGGTCTTCGAAAAATGAAACATCTTTTCACCGCTTCAATCGGCAGATTTAAAATGCTCCCCATCCACAGTGGTGTAGATGTAGCCCTGAATGGTCAGATATTCAATTGCTTGCTTGATGGCCCTGTCACCCAGGCTGGGAAGCTGGGTCTGGAGCTCCTGTACACTCTTGCCTTCCTGTCGACGACATTCCTGAATCAAATGCAGAACTTCCTTGTGGTGGTATTTGCCATTCTCCTGGACCTCATCCATTTTTGATGGAGCAACAGGCACACTGGGCCTAGAGGCTGTTTGGCGGGCTTTACCCAGCATCATATGTGCATTGACCATTTCCAGAATATGTGTGGTGAACTCGTTCATGTCCTCCAGGACATGGATGTTCAATACCTCAAGGCCTTTCGCTTCCTTAAAATATTTGAGGATCCCGATCACTTTGGCATATACTCGCACTGGAAGAAGAGCTACCCCCTGCTTTGCTTTATTTCTTCCAAGCCACTGGTAGACCTCAATAGGCTTGGTGGTCATATCATCAATTCTGTATATAATGTAGTTGGAAGCCCTCTCTGCCGATCTGATTATCCCCACGATAGAGACGCGGGAAACTTCAGTTCCCCTAATCTTGAAGATATTGTCAATCAGAGCACAAGTAAGCAGCTGGTTTACACAACAAGGTATAATATTCTGAACTCGGACCCTGGATCTTGAGGGAGCTGCGCCATCCTGAGATGGTCGGTAATTGCTTCCTATGGTTCCACCCATAGTAGAGATGCTGCCATAGCTCCCAACCCCATTCTTACTCATTTTAAGGACATCTTAGGCAGATTAGGAGGTAGGCTTTGGCTCTATTCTGTGAGTTCCTCAGGCGGACTCTGCCTTCTACAGCGAGCTACCACAGAAAGCTTGGGCATATGACAATACAAGCAGCCTCATGCCACCTGTGGAGCCAATCAGCTACCAGAATGCAGTTGCCTCCAACCAATCAGGACCTACCAGCTTCTCAGCTGATTCCTACAATTGTTTGGCGTTCTCTAGTAATTGCTACACTGTATTTTAAAGGCTCCCCGCGAGGGGCGCGCAGGTGGCTTAGTCGGTTAAGCGTCCAACTTTCGCTTAGGTCATGATCTCGCGGTTCGTGTGTTTGAGCCCCGTGTCGGGCTCTGTGCTGACTGCCAGCTCAGAGTCTGGAGCCTGTTTTAGAGTCTGTGACTCTCTCTCTCTGACCCTCCCCTGCTCGCACTCTCTCTCTCTCTCTCTCTCTCTCTCTCCTAGAACTAAATAAAACATTAAGAAAAAAAATTTTAAAGGCTCCCCGTGTAATTTCAAGCCTTTCTTGCCATCCTCACAAAAATGTGTTTTTACTACTAGGTACCCCTTCCCTTCATTCCTAAACGTCACAACTTTTTCTATAGTCACTACTTAAATATTCATTTATTCACTCATATAATTAACCATTCAACAGACATTTCCAGAGCACATAAATGCACTATGGTAAAGAGCTGTAGGTTTACATGGAGAGGGAGCACAAAAATGGTTACTGTTCTCAAGGAATTCACATCCTTGTTCAAATCATTAAAACCAGAAGCATTCTAGAAGAAATGGCAAGGCAGCTACCTTTGAATGATTATGATATTCAAAAGTCACATCTTACCACTGACATTTTAAGTTTGTTTTATTATAGAATTAAAATTTTCCAGTTATTCTGACAAATGCACTATAGGTAAAAAAAATAAAATAAAATGATATAATATTTCAATTTCCACACTAATTCAAATGAGCTCTAAATTATTTCCAAGCCTCTATTGATGGGTCAGAGAAATACAAAACATGGGCCTCATTATATATTAGGAAATTTATGAATAAAATCAAAATAAAATTTCTGTATACTTTTATGGGGTTAATTTCTGAACTTAAGATTGTAATGATTTATATGAGTATATCCCAGAATATTTTCATATTACATCGAAAATCTATTTTTCCTCATAAAACACTTTATTTTGGTTATAACTAAAGTTTTTTTATGATTAATAAAGAACATCAGTTATTAGTTTCCACCATTGGCAAGGAACATCTTCCTTAAAACTCCTTTGTAGTTAGAAAATAGACTAATGTGTAGAGCTTTGAGTTTATTAATATTTCTATCATTTCTTTTATTGGTTAAAATAATTTAAGTTTTGCTATCCCAAATTTCAAAAATATGTGAATAGTTTATCCAAAACTTATATAATATAAACTTATATTTATTTCTCAGGTTAAAAATGAGTAATATCAGAGCCAAGATACTTGTTTTACAAATAAACATATAATAATTGTTAATCTGCAAATTACTGAGTAAATGTGGATACTTAACTTCTGGAACCATGTTTTATATAATCAAAGAAGAATTAAAACTCCAAGCAATATTTGTATTCTTAAAATAGCACAATATTAGAGATCAGATTAACTATATTTTTTAAATCTTTACAACCTTATAATCAAACATTGCTGTTTTATTAGCTAACATCAGACTGTTCGTAAAAAAAAAAAAAAACTTGAAGTTAAAATGATATAACGATTGTATTCCTGACAATTATGTACAGTACAAATTGTATGAACCATACCAAAACAATGAGAATCACCTACCTGACAGGATTGCTGGTTAAAGAAATCCTCAGAGATTCAAGGCAGTTAAGAAGTTTCTCATCTGAAATACCAGATCGTAATTCATGAACATATTCTTGTGAAGACAGGGTGCATTCATGTTTGCTGTTTTTCAGCCCTCCCTATAAAAAAGATACCATCTTAGACAAACAAAATGTTTTTTTTAACTTTTAAAATAAAATAATGCAAATAATATGTAAATATTTTACTGTACAAAAATGTGTGCAGAGTGCAATTCACTTAAAATTCTTGGTCGTAGAACTGACATGGTAAAATCATGTTATGTATATCTCAACACTCTCCTCATTCTCATTAAAAAAAAATTACACTGCTGGTACTCCTGGTCTGAACAGAATATGGACTTGAAATAAATTGTCACTGACAGGGATGCAATCCAGACAATAGCATTATCATTAGCTGGTGCTCCTAAACCCACAGAATAAACTTTTAGAAATCATATTATTAGTTTTCCTAGTTAATATGCTTATATTTTATTTCACAAAATACAGTGAACAAAATTTAATACAAAACGTTATACATCACTCAAATTTTTTCAAATATATCAAAGAATTAGCCTACCTCCAAAAACAAGTGAAAACAGTTATTAAAATATAAAACAATACAGCTCCATTTAACATGTTAATCAAATTAGTCTAAAGTATTCACTAATTCCCAACTATTCCTTCCTATGTTACTCCCATTTTGTAGATTAATCTTAAAAAGTCATTAAGTACATTTATTTTATAATGACTAGTTTTTAGCTCAATTTCCAATATATATGGCGTGATTGCTAGAACTCATTATCTCATCATTGCTCCTTAGCTTCATCACCTTACCATAATTATGTAAGCAGTTTGGGGAAAAGACTGAGAGGAAAAACTCGTTGACACATTCATTGTACTAATAACTCAGAGCTTCACATTCTAGACATACATAATCATAACTACCCCATTCCTATATTAGAAGTGTATCCCCCTGAATTAAAATTCTAATTTGCACTGCTGATGGGAATGCAAACTGGTGCAGCCAGTCTAGAAAATAGTATGGAGGTTCCACAAAAAATTAAAAACAGGACTACCCTCTGATCCAACAATTTCACTACTAGGAATTTATCCAAAGGATACAAAAATACTGATTCAAAAGGGCACATGCACCCCAATGTTTATAACAACACTATCAACAATATCCAAATTATGGAAAGAGCCCAAATGTCCATTGACTAACAAAGGAGATACATATATAATATATATACATACATATTATACATATATAATGGGATATTACTCAGTGATCAAAAAGAATGAAATTGTGCCATTTGCAACAAAGTAGATGGAACTAGAGTGTAGTTCCATGATGCTAAGTAAAATCAGTCAGAGAAAGACAAATATCATATGATTTCACTCATTAATTTAAGAAACAAAACAGATGAACATAGGGGAAGGGAAGCAAAAATAAGATTAAAAACAAAGAAGGAGACAAACCATAATTCTCTTAAATACAAAGAACAAACTGAGTGTTGCTAGAGGGGTGTTAGGTGGGGGGATGAGCTAAATGGGTGATGGGCATTAAGGAGGGCACTTGTTGGAATGAGCAATGGGTGTTATATGTAAGTGATAAATCACCAAATTCTATTCCTGAAACCATTATTACACTACATGTTAACTAACTTGGATTTAAGAAAAAATAAACAAAAATTTTAGTTTGAGTCTCATTTTCCAAGTCATATTAATGACTTACCTTAGTTTCTGTAAGTATCTAACCTAGACTAAGGAAAGCATTTTTTTTTTCAATTTGGTAGAAGTCATATCATTAGAAGATATAGAATTTAAAAAAAAAAAACAATGTGTTAATAATGAGAAATGGATTTCCTAGGGTATCAAGTTATTTGGATTTTATTGAGAATCATTCCTCAATATAGAAATTGTAGACGATTGTTAATGTCTGAATTGTTTTTAAATTCCTTTAAATAGTATTTGTTTGAAGTCTGATGAAGTCTGACCCAATTCAGTGAGCTTCAAAAGAAGTTAACTATTATTGAATCTGCCCATAACAGTTACAGAATAAGGAATATAATTTCATGCTTTTAACTCCAATATTTTGTGTAATGTACACTAACTTGGTTTTTCTTCATTTTTTAGGTATGCAGATATTCAAGAATTTTACTACTAAATGAATCATAACATAGATGGCAAAGTAAAAACATCACGATGAAATCATTTCCACATTTGTATAACTTATTTACCCAACTCTTAAGGCTGTAGATCCATAGCATGAAATGTTGCATGTCTGCAGTCACAGGGCACTTTTATATGATCCTCAAACTCATTGTCTTAATTAATGGATAATAAGACCCTGCTAATCCTTCCCTGGAAGCTTGTACATCAGTTTATTACTGTAAAATGACCTTTGTATTTGCTGTTTTCTCTGCATGGAGGATTCTTACTCCTGACCTCTATATTGCTAACTCATCATCAAAGTCTCAGCCCAAGAGTCCTCTCCCCACCACATTCATCATCATGTCATTTTAAATCTCATTTATAGTATTAGCTCCATGTGAGCTTAAATTGTTTTAGCACTTTACTAGAATCTTGCCTACCTTTTTCACCACTGTATCTCCAGATTTTAACACAATGCTTGGCACACAGTAAGTACTCAGAACATATTTCTTGAATGAATGAATGGTAAATAAACAAATGTGTTAATGTCTGATGAGTTTCAGCATGCTGAAGCTCCAAAACTTCGTTTAGTTTTGCTTCACAATATTAGACTTCTGACATGTTACATTATAATATATTCAGAAGTGCAAATGTAGAAAACGTAAATTGAGACTATATATGGCATCCTAAAAGCAGCTCAAACTGCCACAGTGTTTGAATTGTGGCCCCCTAACTTACCTTCTAGGTAATCGCTGAGCATGCTATTCAATTAATCTCTATAAACCTGTTTGCTCATCCACAATATAGGGTAATAAACACGGACTCTTCATGTTTATCATGAAGATAAAGACAAAGCATATAAAGTGCTTAAAACACACATTCCATATGTGCTGTCTCAAAGACAAAGTAAGCTTCTCAGAAATGATTATTCCCTTTCTCTATATGGTCATGGCTGAGATATTCCTCTTGGAACAACTGGGCCAGCCCAGTACCTTGGGACTCCCTCCTCCTCCAAGTCTTAGAAACAGGTTTAATTATGTAATTTAGGATACTCTGTGGTTATAAGGAGTGGAAGCAATCTAATGGAGCAATACAAAAAATGAGTAGCCTTATAAAACAAATCCCTTTTATCAAGTTTTCAAGGGTCTTAAGTTCATATTTGAAGATTATGAAAACATAATAGTATATTGAGGATGGGCTGATGCTTACTTAAATATCAGCTCTTCTAACAGACTCATTACAGAAATAAAGAATCAAGGTGACTATCCAAGTTCACAAATTAGTGAGGCTGCAAGAATTAAACACTAATATTCTGATACTCACGTTACTCTTTTTCCAATATGTGTCATATCTGAATGTCACTTTTTGAATAAAAATTGAAGCTACAAATCTTTAAATCTGAATCTCTATTAAAAATGCCAAGGTATCTTCCATAAAACCAATATGGTACAAAATAATGTTAAAGAAATCACATAAAAACAAAATAGTGCAATAGATTAAACTAATTCTCACTATATTTAATAGGGCTGTAATACAAGAATGATTTACTATTAACATCCTGTTCTGATACCGAACAAAGGAAACAACTAGATAATGGAGAGATGATAATGGAGATTTTAATTAGCTGCTCTGTATGAGATTAATGAAAATTACTACTGTGCTCATTTGATCTTTAAAAAATAATGCAAAGTTAGCAATTAGCATACATCATGCTTTTCCAAAGCGAGGCTAACAAAACACTTTCCTAATTTGAAGCCATCCCTTAATCTGAAAATCATTAATATAGAGATACTTGTCAGTGTGGCTGTGCTTATATTTTTCTAAGACACTACACACACAAATATATATACACACATGCATACAGTGGGCCACTTTAAATATTACATTCTGTTAACTCTGATATGAAATGCCAGTATCAAAACCAAATAAATAATATTCCAAAAAGATTATTTTAGGTTTTCATTGCATATACTATTTGATATTTTTAAAGATTTTATTTTAATTCCATTTAGTAAGTATACAGTGTTATATTACTTACAGGTGCACAACATGGTAATTCCGCATTTCCATACAACACCCTGTGCTCATCCTAACATGTGCACTCTTTAATCCCCATTACCTATGTAATCCATCCCCCTGCCTCTGGTAACCATCCTTTCCCTATAATTAAAAGTCTGTTTCTTGATTTGCTTCTCTCACTCTCTCTTATTTTTTCCCTATTGCTTGTTTTGTTTCTTAAATGCCACGAGTAAAATTATGTACTATTTGTCCTTCTCTGACTTATTTCACTTCGCATAATACTCTCTAGCTCCATCCATGTCACTGACAAGGCAAGATTAATTCTTTTTTATGGCTGAGTAATTCCCATTGTAAATATATGCACCACATCTTTATCCATTAGTCAGCTGATGGACACTTGGGCTATTCCATTAATTTGGCTATTGTAAATAATGCTACTATAAACATAGGAGTGCATGTATACATTTGAATTAGTATTTTGGAATTCTTTGGGTAAATATACTTAGTAGTGCAATTGCTGAATCATAGGGTTGTTCTATTTTTAACTTCTTGAGGAAACTTCATACTGTTTTCCAGAGTGGCTGCAACAGTTTACATCCCCACCAACAATGGAAGACGATTCCCATTTCTCCACACCCTTGCCAACACCTGTTGTTTCTTGTGTTATTGAGTTAAGGGCTTCTCACAGGTGTGAGGTATATAGTTTTTATTTGCATTTCCCTGACGATCAGTGATGCTGAGCATCTTTTCATGGGTCTATTGGCCATCTCTAAGTCTTCCTTGGAAAAATGTATATTCATCCCTTCTACAAGTTTTTTAACTCGATTATTTGTTTTTTTTTTTTTTTGAGTGTTGTTTTATAAGTTCTTTATAGATTTTGGATACCAACCCTTTATTAGTTATGCCATTTGCAAATTATATTCTCCCATTCAATAGGTTCTCTTTTA